TTTAAAGCACGCGGAAATAATGTACTTTTGTGACTGCGAATAAGTGCAGTGTCTCGTGAGTGTAACTCTACCGAATCAACATTTGATGTGAATGTGTCTCGCGAGTTTCAGTTGGAGCTGGAGCCGGGAGACATAATACAGCACATTGCTTGAGGTAGATGTTGTATTTTGTTAGTAAATGTTTCATTATATTACTAATGTAATATAATAATATACTCCTTTGTTCACTATTACACTACTGCATATATTGCATCTGACACTGGTGTAACCTAGTTTTGTTCGGCCACATCATTCAGTGAAGGAAAATGACAAGCAGCAGCTTCTAATTCGTCGTTAACATTGAAGTATACAGAGATAAAACAACGCAAGTATCTATAACAGTATAATTTGTCCTGAAGCTTATCGGTATTCCGGTATCCCCCACTCACTATAGAAGTCAATGGCTGCTGGCAACTGTTTGTTTACCAACATTCTTCAGAATTTATTCTTTTGTGTTCAACCGAAGAAAGAAACTCATAGAGGCTTGGAATAACTTGAGGGTGAGTACATGATGACAATTTTCATTTTTGGGTGAACTATCACTTTTAAGCCACAAACACCAACATAAACATACTGCAATTCCTCCCAGCAAGAGGTTCCCTTTCACTGAAGTCCCTTTCATTTTCTCAGACTTTGATTTGTAACACTACACTTCTCAAGACAGATCTAGATGTTAATACACAAGTGAGCAAGATTTAAACTTGAATTTTAAAAAAAGAAACTGTTTAATACTCAAATTCTGTGTGAAAAATTACACTACCCATAATCCTGAAGAGAGATCCACCAATTAGACAAGTCACTGTTACCATTAGGGTTGCAAAGGGGTGGAACATTTCCGGTAAATTTCCGGAAACTTTCAAAAAAAATCCCTGGAATATTCAAAAAAATCCTAGTTTCTTCACTCTTCCACTAGTCTAATGCATGTGGAAAACTGAAACTGACAGAAATATACTCTCTATTCATAGTTCTCACAATTTCCTTCTTACAAATAAATATCATGTTAAGGTGCACATTATCTAAATTTCGTTTGGGGGGAAAAAAATATTTTCCATTGTCAATAGTGACTTACAGAAGTCACTTTCAAACCAAGCAGCTTTCTGTTGGTCAGTGATCAATTTGAATATGAGCTAAATCTGCATGGGGAATTTTTTCGCTTCACACAAAACACTGATTGCTTGGATTTCAATTGAAATGACTGGAATTTGTTTTACAATCTGATGCTACAAACAACTTCTCTTATCTTCTAGTTTTTCAGACCATCTATGGCTGTGTTTATTGAAGCCAGTACACTGATCTGGAATTTTAAGTGTAATGTTAAAGCGTTAGTTCACCCAAAATATAAAAATTGTCATGAATTACTCATGTCATTCCAAACCCATAAGACAGTTTATGTTTTCAAAACACAGATGAAGATATATTTAATGAATCATAAGGAAATTTCTGTCCCTCCATTGAAAGTCCATTAATCCGAAACTTGGACACTTGGAAAATGGAAACTCAAATGCTTATTTGATGCAGAAACTTGAATTTTAAAAAAAGAAACTTAGGGTTGCAAAGGGGTGGAACAATTCCGGTAAATTTCCGGAAACTTTCAAAAAAAATCCCTGGAATATTCAAAAAAATCCTGGAAAGTTTCCGAAATTTCTGGAATATTTCCGAAATTTACTGGAAATTGTCCACCTTTTTTGCAACCCTAGTTACCATGGAAACAGAAAAAACAGCAACTGTTCGCTCCCATAAAGCATCGCAAATGACAGTCTCGCTACACCAATGTTCAAAAGTTTGGCACTGGTCAAAATTTTTGAAAGAAGTCTCTTCTGTTCGCCAAAGCTACATTTATTTGATCAAAAAAAACCTACTAAAAACAGTAAAATTGTAAAGTTTGGCACTGGTCAAAATTTTTGAAAGAAGTCTCTTCTGTTCGCCAAAGCTACATTTATTTGATCAAAAAAAAAACTACTAAAGACAGTAAAATTGAGAAATATTATTGCAATTCAAAATAACTGTTTTCTATGTAAATATATATTAAAATGTAATTTATTCCTATGATCAACGCTGAATTTTCAGCATCATTACTCCAGTCTTCAGTGTCACATGATCCTTCAGAAATCATTCTAATATGCTGATTTGCTGCTCAAGAAACATTTATTATTATTATCAATGTTGAAACAGTTGTGCTGCTTCATATTCTTGTGAAAACCGTAATGCATTTTGTCTTTGATGAATAGAAAGCATTATTTGGAAATATAAATCTTTTGTCTTTTCATAAATGTATTTGCCACTTTCAATCAATTTTATGCATCCTTGCTAAATGAAAGTATTATTTTCTCTAAAAAAAATCTTACTGACCCTAAACTTTGGAACGGTTGTGTAGGCCTATATCTGAATATTTTACAACTTAAGATATATTGTTCTTATAGTTGTTATCAATGACAATAAAGTGTATAGTTTTACAGTAAACAATCATTTTTTATTTAATTAAGCAATTTGCAATGACACTTTTGACTGGAGTAATGATGCAGAAAATTCAGATTTGCATCAAATAAATTAATTTTTTTAAATATGTTACAATATAAAACAGTTATCTTAAATTGTAATAATATGTCACAAGAGTACAGTTTCTACTGTATTTTTGAACAAATAAAAGCAGCCTTGGTGAGCATAAAAGACTTCTTTCAAAAACATAAAAAAAAATCTAACCAACCCCAAACTTTTGAACGACAGTGTAAATACATATATACAGTGGGTACGGAAAGTATTCAGACCCCCTTAAATTTTTCACTCTTTGTTATATTGCAGCCATTTGCTAAAATCATTTAAGTTAATTTTTTTTCCTCATTAATGTACACACAGCACCCCATATTGACAGAAAAACACAGAATTGTTGACATTTTTGCAGATTTATTAAAAAAAAAGAAAAACTGAAATATCACATGGTCCTAAATATTCAGACCCTTTGCTCAGTATTTAGTAGAAGCACCCTTTTGATCTAATACAGCCATGAGTCTTTTTGGGAAAGACGCAACAAGTTTTTCACACCTGGATTTGGCGATCCTCTGCCATTCCTCCTTGCAGATCCTCTCCAGTTCTGCCAGGTTGGATGGTAAACGTTGGTGGACAGCCATATTTAGGTCTCTCCAGAGATGCTCAATTGGGTTTAAGTCAGGGCTCTGGCTGGGCCATTCAAGAACAGTCACAGAGTTGTTGTGAAGCCACTCCTTCGTTATTTTAGCTGTGTGCTTAGGGTCATTGTCTTGTTGGAAGGTAAACCTTCGGCGTACATTAATGAGGAAAAAAAATTAACTTAAATGATTTTAGCAAATGGCTGCAATATAACAAAGAGTGAAAAATTTAAGGGGGTCTGAATACTTTCCGTACCCACTGTATATATATATATGCAATTTTTGCTTCAAATCAAAGGTTGCAATGTGATTCATCTTGTTGGGTTTGATTCATGGCTTGCAACTCAACTTAGCCGAGCAATCTGAATACTGTTAAAACCAGTCTGTTTCTCTTACCCACAGTGCCCAGATCTAACAGAAGGTTAAGTTGATGACGTTTGCTAAATTAAACAGTGTTTTAACACGCCTCAGGTGTAAGACTGTGGTTTAAACAGGCTGTTCTATGGACTGCAACACATATAATAATGTAAACGGCAAATGACTCCATGAGTCTTGCTTTACAGCAGTAAACACCTCTATTATAACCTTACACAGGTTACCTCTTCATATCATCTATATATTTAGCTCTAGCCATAGAATTAAGGTTTTGATTTAATTAGGACTGTCTACTATGTCAAGCATAACTATTATTATCGCTTATACTCAAGGTTAGTGATTTGAACAGTCTTTCAGAACACTACAGAGCCGAATGAAGCAATCAGACTTACAATTTTCTAGATCATTAATATCAGCTCTAAAACTCATTCATTCCGTTTATTTCTCTCTAAATGAACAAATGATGAGATAAATGCATTGACGACTGCACAGTAAACCCAAAACAATCTGATTACGGGAAATCCCGAAATATCAGTCAAAGCACATAATGACTTTCTGAACTGAATATCTGAAATATCAGCCTTTAACACACACTTCAGTGCACTAATGTCAAGAAAACAAGAACTCAGCGAGACCATTAAATTCAAATAGAATCCTCCTCATAAATCTGTATCAGTACAGTCCAAATGATGACTGTCACGTTCCGGCCAACACACACTTACCGTAATGAGTCAGGACGTCCTGAGGCTCAACGACTTTGTTGCAGGCATTGCAAACGACAGGTTTGAAATCCTCATGGGTTGGGACGGGACCATACAAAAGCATATCTACAGCCGAGAGAGAGAGCGAGAGAGAATCAGTGAATTTGACAACTTTCAAAACCACTTCACATATAAGCATGAATATCACATCTGCTGTAGTTTATGTGGAAAAATCATCTTGCAATAGAACGGTCTTGTTTTTGACAACATGATTAAAAGTTTGACTGGTTAGAGAGTCGGACTTGAAACCCAAAGGTCGCAGGTTCTTTTTTTTTTTTTTTTCTCAAATGGTCCTGTGGTGTAGCAAACACTGTCATCTTTTTCTCCCAAAACAAACATGAAAAGTGTTGCTTATTGCAGCTCTCTGAAAAAAACTCTCTTTAGGGAATAACTCACCCAAAAATGTTCTGAAAATGTACTCACCCTCAGGCCATCCAAGATGTAGATGAGTCTAGAAATGTAGCATTGCATCACTTGCTCAGCAATGGATCCTCTGCAGTGAATGGGTGCCGTCAGAATGAGAGTCCAAACAGCTGATAAAAACATCACAATAATCCACAAGTAATCCACACCACTCCAGTCCATCAGTTAATGTGTTGTGAAGCCAAAAGCTGCGTGTTTGTAAGAAACAAATCCATCATTAATGCGTTTTAATGTTAAACCATCACTTCTGGCCAAAATATGAGAACATAATCCATAATAACACTTCCTCCAGTGAAAAAGTCCATCTCCTGTTGTCCTCTCACATCAAAATGCACACATCTTTGTTTCGATCTATTTTGGACGGTTTTAGCTTGTAAACAGTGCTCACTTTGTGCAGATTTCTCTCCTGATTCAGACAAGTCGACGTTTTCACTGCAGAAAGCAATGTTATGGGTAGAGGCAGGACTCGACAATAAGGACTGCCTGATGACCCGGGGCCAGCGTGAAAGACTGCGGCGTCGTCACGAAATTTTAGCATTTGCATGTGTTTTTAAGACTTGTTAATTTAAAAATTCAAGCGATTAAAAAGCATTTGGGCGCGAAAGACAACTGCTTTCAGTACTCGCGCGCTGTGTTCTGTGTGAACAGCAGTGTTGCCAAGTACACGGTTTTCCCGCAGAATTGGGCTACTTTATCACTGTTGCCGCGGGTTAAAGCGACCCCGATAACGTGATATTTAGGCCCTGGAGTGCAAATTTTACCAGGAGAACCCCGCCAAAAACGTGTATTTTACCCTCCGGAACGTGATTTTTAACGGGGAGTCCTCCTCGAAATGACATTGGGCTAGTTTTGAGTAGCAATTGGGCGGGTTTTGTTGTGAAAACCTGGCAACCCTGGTGAACAGCGCGCACAAAGCCACCTGGAATAGATAAAAAAATACATACAAAAGTATGTCAAAATACCCGTCCTGGCAAGCAACTTTGTAGTTTTAACAATGATGAATCTATATTGAATTTATACACTGGGGTACAGATGCAGCGATCTACCGGACATTTTTTGTTTTATTTCAGACTATCTTCTGTTCCGTGCTTGCACACAAACTGCACTGCGATAATTTTCCCAATGGCCATTTGTGTGGAAATATTACGTTATTATTATACTTAGTCTGTAAACGGCCATTAACAGAGGCCAGAGATGCTGAAGACGGACACAAAGAGGAGAAAATACTGTAGCAGACAGAACAAGATCACTGTTCGCGATGCACGAAATATAGGAAGAAAATCCAAACACTGAATTTTATATGAATGTGTTTCTGAGGGGAACGGAACTGACTGTTTTCAGAAAAGGCGTTTTCTTTTCATTTTGTCTCTGTATGATGCATTTAATTTAGTGTTAATATGCGCAGGCTGCTGTGTTTACAGCGGAAACCAAGGAAACGCTGTATCACTGTTCCGTAAGCGCCGCCTGCTGGCAGAGAGCGAATCTGCGTCTCATTCAGCCCGTCTGCTGTTTCTGTTTCATACAGATGTTTTATGTAGCATAATTTCACAAAGCTAAAGTCAGGTTATTCTGTTTTCGCTTCAGATTTTGAAATTATACAGTCTAATATAAATCAAACATTGCACTCTTTTTTCAATTCATGATTAAAATGCAGTGGTTGCCTCTAATTTCAAATGGCTATGAAAAATCAAGGTGCAACAGAGTGAAGAATATGCTAATGTTATTTTATATGTGATTTTTCCATTTCTGTACCTGAACATCTACAAACATAAAAACCTAAAGCATCATTTCATTTCTATTTTTGTGCTATAGGCCTATATTTAATTGTGCTATTACTTGTAATTTGTTCATTTGTTCTTATTTACTGGCTGTCACTTCTCTTTAATAATGTTTAATTTTGATATTTATGTTTATTTTTGCGGTGGTATCGCAGGTATAGAGAATTGTAAAATTTAATTAGTATCTAAAATATTGGTGTCATATAAGCTTATTGAGCTAGAGGACTCGTATTTTAGCCGAAAGAAAAGGTTTGATGTTAAAACGTCTTAATGATGGATTTGTTTCTTACAAACACGCAGCTTTTGGCTTCACAAGACATTAACTGATGGACTGGAGTGGTGTGGATTACTTGTGGATTATTGTGATGTTTTTATCAGCTGTTTGGACTCTCATTCTGACGGCACCCATTCACTGCAGAGGATCCATTTTGTGAGCAAGTGATGCAATGTAAATTTCTCCAAATTTGATGAAGAAACAAACTCATCTACATCTTGGATGGCCTGATGGTGAGTAAATTGACAGCAAATCTCCATTTTGGGGTGAACTATTCCTTTAAATTAATGTTATAATCACTTTACGGCCGTGAGCCACATGAAAATGATTCTGTATGCATGTGAGTTTTTTCCACATCTGACCCACTAAATTATTAACCAAGGTTGCCAATGAGGGCTGACATGTTCCCATGTTTATCCCATCAAAAGTGACATTTAGAGATGGGAACCATATTTAAAGATTTGCTAATGACTCTAATTATTTCACATTCACTATGCATTTAATTTGAACAAATTGAAACCACAGTTTTATGTTGCTCAGCTCGTGTTTTAAAGCAGGACGGACTAGTGACCAATTATACTTCACATTTAGTGATCCATTTAGTCACTCATGGTAAGCTCGCTGATGATCTGAGGAGAACTGTGACGCAAGCGTTCAGAGAAGCTTGTCAGATTCGCTGAGCTTTCTTTCACCGTCCATGCAGAATCACCGCGCGCTTCCGCTAGTACACACTGAGAAAGAACACACACTCTCACACAGAGAACTAGTGCTGATGTTAACAATGAGAACAACTGAGCTGAACTGTGTTAACACCAGCTGCTTGAGTGTGTCGTGGTCAGACACTTAAATGGTAGATTATGGTTACATTCAGAATGTAATGCTAGTGTATTGGTAGTAAATACTGTGAAGTACGAAATACCGCTGTATGTTTTTTTTAGTATGTAAAAATAGTATGTGAAACAGATTCCTTCCTAACTATCTGAATGTAGATCTGTACAGCTATTATATGATGCAGTGTTTGTTAATTATTTTTTTAAAGGAGTTGCTCAACATACAGTATTACCCTAAGCCAATATGAGCTCTGACAACAATAATAACATGATGACATGAGAAAAAACGCCCACCATCATGACACACACACACACACACACACACTCACCTGCTTTACTGAGTTTGATCACCTCTGAACCCTTCAAGAGCTTCTTCCCAGCAGTATCAGAGTAAAGATCTGAAAATATTCAATATCGCTGCATGCATTAGACTGACACTGTAAACAAACAGTTAAGCAGCATGCAGTTACAGATACTGGTAGCTAGATGGCTGTCTTGATCCAGCAAACCAACACACACACACACACAGTGTCTAAACTTATACACGCTCCGTCTCATGAGCCACTAACATTCAGGCGTTCACGCGCAAGTACAGAAGTGCATATGACACCTGTCAAGCACTCGTGACACATGATGATATGAATGCATGCGCGTTTACGGCGCGTTGTTTATGCAGCAGCGCAGATGCACGGAGGACACGCGCGTTATAAACCCTGACATAGTCGAGTGTCGCACTGCAGTCGCACGAGTGTCTGAGGGCGGTAGTGTGACTTACAGTGTGTGCTGTGGCTCCTGTGTGCAGTTTGTGCGCGCGGCGGTACAGCGTCGCCATTGCTCTTCCTTCTTCCTTCTTCCTTCACAGACAGCGAGACGAGACGAGCGAGCGAGAGAAACATATGACGCCACCTTCGCCAGAGTTCGGCCAGCGTTCGGCTGCGCTCGGCTGCGCTCGGCTTCAAGAGACGGAAAGGTTGAACGTGTGCATCGTGCATTTATATAGTGCATCATTAATCTTATGTTATAATCGTGCATACGCCATTTTATTATTATTATTATTACTACTAGTAGTAGTATTGATAGTTTACATTCTTTGCTACATTTTAATTACATTATAATTACATATACATTAATAATTACTTATTGTTTACATAACATATAAATATGAATTAATACATTTATTAAATAAATAATTAATTAATAAATATGAATGTAATGATAGCAATAGTAACAATAATTTAATAATATTATTAGTAGTATTACTAGTTACTATTATATATTACTATTATATTATATTTTAAGTATATAATTAATGACATTTTATTGTTTACACAATATGTAATAAATATTAATTAATGCTTTAGATAAAGGAATAAAATTAATATTAATGTAAAAAAATATTATTATTGATAGTTGTAATTGTTGATTATAAATTAATCTAATTTTATTGTTTACATATAAATAAATATTAATGCATTCATTAAATTAATAATTCATTAATAATTATGAATGTAATTAATAGCAACAGTAAATAACAATGACGATAATAATTAGTAGTAGTAGTAGTAGTAGTATTAACATTAATATTACCTTTTTAGTTTTATTCATTTAATTATATTATTTAATATTTGTTATAAATTATGTAAATAATAAAATGTAATTCATTTATAATCAACAGTTATTGCAACTATTAATAATAATAATAATTATTATTATTATCTTCAACAACTAGTAATAATAGTTTTACTTACAACTACTACTAATTATTCAAATGTAATGAAAATAATTACTTTTATTATTGGTTCTATAATTACTAAATTGTTGTTTAAACATGATATTGTTTACATAAAATATAATTAACTCTTTCCTAAAAAGTCTTATATTTTATTAATGTAATTTATAAAATATTACTACTATTTATTGTTGTTGATTATGGCAATAATAGTAGGCTAAAATCCCTTTTTTAATAGAGTTATCGATGTTGTTTTAATTGTCATTCTCACACAATGTGGGCTTTAGTCTTGTTATCATTCAAGTGCAGATTTTTGTGATCCTGTAGGTAAATAACTTGGGACAAATGGCAATAATTTAATTTCACAGATTTCGTTACACAAGCAGCAGTCACGAGAAAGTCATCGTCTCATCATCGCAATAAATACATACACACTACTTTTGAATAATGATTGTGTTCATTTGTTTAAGAGTTCTTAAAGTGTTAACAGCCAGGAAAATCAGACAAAAAAAACTGTATAATAATAAATATCAAATGCACTATTTAGTTACTTTTATTATTTAATATACTACAGGTTGAACCACGGCACAAAAAATAATTTGAGATATGAGTATGGGAAATAAACAGGCCAGACTCGGACAGTCATGGGTCAGATCACCTGTAGGACATGAAAAACTCTTTTGATGCGTTCAGCCTACTGCTGTGAACTATCATATTGAGGCTTTCGCTCCAGATAATGTTTTGTTTGTTCTTTTGACAAATGCTGATCAGTGAAGTCACAGGATGAGCCGGCAAACAAAAGCGCCATTATACCAGAAGGAAGCCAGGATTTATTTGGGTAAGAAATCACACTTTCTCCCCAGAAGCACAAAGTCCTGCATGTATACAAACATTACCAAGTGTACTTCACAGTCAGTTTTATTCATCAAAAAAATGACATTTCAGTACAATGCTTCACTACAGAGACAGAAACACAACAAGAACAGAAAGAAAACCTTCCTAAACAAAACTCCAGCACCATTAGAAATGTGATGCTGATGCTTAAAACTGCATAAAAATGCATAGATAACTATTTAAACGCAACACTTGAACATAAACGAATGAAAAATTAATCTTGTTGGAAATAAGAAGCAGCTATGCAAAAATACACAGAAATGTTGCTCTGCGAGACTGAAATGTATTGAGGTTGATGAAACAAACAAGATTTTTATACTTGATTTGACAAAAATAGATCATATAAGTAAAATGCATTGTAATAGTACATTCAAAAAATGTTTTAGTTCCATTAAAAGTTAAAAAAAGCATGCTGACTAAATATAACCAAGGTAAAAAAAGATATTTTCTTTAAGTACACAAGAAATTAAAGGTGTAAAACAGAAAAGGAGAAGAGAGAAACATCACAAATGAGAGTCATATGATTATTGGTCTTACAGACAAACTGCATAAAGCATCACCTGTTACTGTGTATTTTTCATGAAGGCTAAGGTGTTATGCTGTGGGCTAATTGTTTAGATGGGTGCTGGATTTGGACCCCGTCCCGCCGCTTGCTGAGCATTGACCTTCTGAGAGTGCCAGCGCGTCTCCTTATACACAAACCAGGCGTTCCCAACCCATATGATGAGATTCAAGAAACCAAATATCTGAAAATGAGATTTGGAGTCGGTTATTCATAATATACACTACCGGTCAAAAGTTGGGAATAATTGGAAAGTCTCTTCAGCTCACCAAGGCTGCATTTGTTTGATGAAAAATACAGTAATATTAGAGTTTAAGATAACCGTTTTCAACTTTAACATATATTTTAAAATGTAATTTATTCCAGCGATGGCAAAGCTGAATTTTAAGCAGCCATTACATAGCAGCCAAGTTTTCAGTGTCACATGATTCGTCAGAAATCATTCTAATATGCTATTTTGGTGCTTTCTTATTAATAAAAAAAAAAAGAAAAAAAAATAAATTCTGAAACTGTGATACATTTTTTTCAGGATCTTTTGATTAATAGAAAGTTCAAAAGAACAGCATTTATTTGAAAAAA